GTAGGACAGGATCGTGACCCCAATTTATATCGGCGCTTGCATGGTATTCTAAACGAAACGAGTTATATAGCCTTAAACCAACATTCATAATTTGCGAGAGCAGAAATGAAACGTTCTTATTTTCGTTTTGAAGGTGTTGATGCTATGGATGTCACGGTGCAAATGGTTTTCTCTGGATGCTCCATTTGCCCATCGGGAGCAGATGGACTCCCAGGCGAAGATGGGCCAATGGGTATGCACTATCTTAAGTACGTAAAGCAGTTGTTGCAGCTCAATAGCAATTACATCCAGGCTTACCTGGTTTGGAAGGTCCTTCTGGCACACCGGGAACTCCAGGTCGAAATGGGGCTGCAGGACCACCCGGTGACATTGGACTTCCTGGAAAACCAGTAGGCTATTAATTTATAATAACGGAGTCAATCGTTAGAGCTTTAATCGTAGGGTAAGAAAGGCAAGATTGGGGCTATTGGACATCCTGGATACGACGCAGTCACATCGGTTGGAAGTCAAGGATCAAAAGGACCGCCAGGTCCTGCTGGGCCTCCTGGAGAGCCTGGTGAAGAGGGTACTCCCAACTACGAGGTTCCATTTCTTTAAGCACCCATTGCTCCATATTTCTATGTCATTAACAAGGCATAAATATTTTATTACAGGATGGTGAACCTGGTTCTCGGGGAATTCGTGGAAAACCTGGATTGCCAGGAGAGCAAGGGAAACGTGGCAAACAGGGACCGCAAGGTTTTCCAGGAAAGCAGGGTGCAGCGCAGAAAGTTTGTATTTTTGGAATATTTTCTCATATATTGTGCATAAAAGCTAAACAATTCTTAAGAAAGGAAATATGTAGTATAAACACAAAGTTTTTAGGTAGCACGTTTTTGATAAATCTTCAAGCTCGACTTTCTAACTTTTCATAATCAACTTTACCTTATGAAGCGGTTGTGTAAGTTATGCTAATCGTATGGTTAGAAAGTTTTCGCTCTATGCAAACCTCCATATAACCTCCAGATATACATTTCTAATTACGCGACGAAATGAATAGCAATCAAAAAGTAGGTCTAGTTAAAAAGATAGTCTTAGAAATCGCATGAGACAACTACTGTAGATTAAACTAGAATTATTTTGGAGGGTGCTTTTTGCAATGCTATCTTAATTTTCACTAGATATGATCATAATTTGCTTCTTTTTGCAATTGCAGTGGACTTTGTTTTGATGAGCAAGAATTCTTGCAGTAAAGCTAGGTATAAGGGAAGGCTAGATATCCCTCCTCAACTCTACTGGCGGAAAGATGGCCTCACATTAACTGTCAAAGTACCGATATGAAAAAACGTGAAGAAGCAGGTCTTATTAAGCGTTGCATCGAATGTTTATCCCTATTTATTGAAGAAAGAGAGTTAAACATTAAGAGAAACGTTTATGGAGTACCGGAAAAAAAGTTACGGACATAGGATGTGACAT